ATATTGAAACTAATAATCATTCGTGTAGTTCGCATCTAAACAACTTGATCATGTGGAAGTTTGATCGTGAAATCATGCGTAGAAAAATGGAAAAAACAGATGCACTTTCTCCGCTTCGGACTACCAAAAACGAACACACATGTGGGTCACACAAGCCAGGATTAGCCCTGGCACCCATAACCCGAAACGGAAAGCTATAAACATATAGCATGTATTATTATCAATAGTGATTACAGGAGAACTATGCGTTACAACAAGTACGGTGATGAACCCGATGAAGGCCGACCTCTGATGAGTCCATCGCTCCTACTGAAAGATGATGACGCAGCTGAGCGGCCACTTCTGATAACAAAGTTACACTGCCATGTACACCGGACGATTTCGCCGAGGAATGGTATGAGATAGCGAAATTCATTTTCTCACCTTTCTCCACCGCCCTTCCTCGGGCTAGAAAAGCCTCTGGAACGGAAATCATCGATCTCGAAACGTCGGAAATCAACACCACTAGAGTACTGGCGGACATCACGTGAGCCGAATGAGGCACCGCGAGAAGACCCTTTGTAACGACCTGACCACAAAGCACTTTGATAAAATGTCCAATCCCGAACCTCATCATGAACATTTCTTAGAGAGGGTATCACAAAAGTAGAGAATCAATTCATCGTCAATTACCGTCACAATTGTCGTACTTCAATCTGCTGCGCTAGACTAGACTAGTGAGACCAACATAGATGATGATATGGATAGATAAGCAGTGGAGAGAGTGGTAAATAAATGGGTAACAACAATAGAGTCTATTGAATAGACATGTCTGGGTAGTGTACGTCATAAAAGTGTGAACCAGACGATTAAAGTGATATTCTCGATTTTTGTGAGTTCAAAAGTCAACTTTGAGTAATATCAACAAGATAACAATGTGAATCGATTGACACCGACGTTTTAAAAGCGTTCTGTAGTCTACAACCATACTCTCTAAGATCTACATATGTATAACTGTTTGGTTCGCAAATTACAAGTATGTGATATGCTAAGTCTAAATGCAACAGTCTTACCACTCTATGAGATCGTCTCCCAAGACTTTCTACTGTCAAGTGTAAGAGTTATTAATAGCACTGCTACTCACCCTTCCCAGAAGCAAACCTGGTTTCTCTAGCAGAGTTAACATCACGCATTAATGATAAGAACCAACTAGGAACCTCTTGCTCATTCTCCTCGAGAAGTGCCTATCAAATAATACATGTCCACATACCACACCATGAGCAGATCATAACTGCGCTCGGCCGGGCTACATTCTACTCGCTGCTACAATACCACTAACACTAGTGCAATGCTCAAGTCCAACTGACAAATGTTACCAACAGGTAGAGTAGACCAGTGCTCTAAGTTCGATACATCAGTGCTACACCCAAGTCCCTAACACCCCTGGACAGTGAGGGTGGACTGTTTACACCGCAACAACCAAAGTATCATCATCTACGACTCAGAGATGTCGAGTTTATACTCAAAGATGCGTCGTAGGGTGGTCCAAAACTTACCATACGACTACAGTAGATGCGCGCAGAGGGTTGAAAAATTTTTTCCAAATTTCATCTGAGATGTTTGGTGAAGGAATCGGCTCAATACTTCCGTCAAGTTGAGCAAAAACTTCTCAGACAAGAAATGGCATTTTTGATTTCGCGCCTTGCATATTCTCATCACACGCCGTTCCCATCAGTAGACTCACCCAAAGATCTCGCAAAATCGCGCGTCCACTTTCGTTAACAAATGACGTCGCCGTACCAAGGTTGCCAACCCTACCGGTTCCTGAACACTCAGTTGGCGAGTCCCAACCAAACTACTCCGCATCCTACTTCCTATACGATGAACATAATCGTCGATGTTATGGGGCAAGTCGTAGTTGATAACGTGATTAACATGACTGATATCCAATCCTCGAGCTGCTACATCTGTTGCTACTAGTATCGGCCTAACGCCCTAAACAACGATAAAAACTACTTTACAACAACACGACTTCAAACACGGACAACCTCAGTTCACGAACCACTAAGATCAACAAGATCACACAAAAACCATAACACATCTATGATGAAGCGAAAGAGTTTCATCTTCAGCGAGCAGTGTGAGAACGTATGCACATGGTCAACTACATGTGTTGGTGACCACATGAAAATTGTTAGTTTCTGAACATTTCTTCCCGATTTCCTATACAAACTTCTATAACTACTGAGGAAACTTTTGATAGCAGCTGAGGAAAACAAACACTGTGTCGTGCTTGGGAATTCTAACAAGTTGAAACTCAGAGCGTACCGATTTGAATTCACGCAATGCTTCTTCCCTCTCCATTTGGCTCCGATCCCCATGAATAGAGGTCGCCGGGTATCTATATGTACGTATGCCCATGACCAGACACATGATAACCTTACCGATCGCGGCACAGTACATGCTCCAACTCGTCTGCACGCCTCTTAGTTTCGACGAATATCTGCTCGAGAAAACACTATTATCCTCATCGTCCCAGCAAATCACGAACGGTGGTGAACTACAGTACACAGAATTTCCAGGTCAAATTAAGAAAAGTTCTAAAAAGAAAAGTTAATTTTTTTGCCCAGTTGGTTAGTTTTTTCTAACTTTTTCGTCAACATTTTACCCATATTTTGAATAACTGACATCATCATTGTACATTTCCATGCTCAAATTAGACTCCTGAACTCTCGAATAGACCAGGTATAATACTAACCTTCTTGGCGTCTTATTGAAATCATGAATAAGATGTCAACGAGATAGGTAAAAAATTAAAATTTTCGGAAAAAAACTAGTTTGACCTGGAAATGCTGCATACACAGGGGCAACCCTTTCTCACCAAAGTAAGCCCTTCTTCAGATTGTTCCTCCAATAAGCGGCGTAGGTCTCTGTACTTGTCGCTATCTTCCACATATCTACAACAACACCGTGTTGGAGTAGGAATATATGTTCGCTACACTTAGCTGAGCTCAGGAGTTTTCTCACTAACTATACGAGTTAGGGTAGACGTATACGAAAACCAGCAAGAATTTCTCAAGTTTATTCACGATTTTTCTATTGCCGCCAACACGCAAAGTTAAGCATATGCATATCTTCCTATGCTACAGCTGTACACAGATCCAAGGTGCTTAGGACCTTTGTTGTAGCCTACAACAGCAACCTCACCCCCTCTAACTACTGCTGAAAACAAGCTCCGATCAAACTATAAACCCCAAATTCACCAAGATGCTATTCAAACTACTGCCCTCCTCCGCCCTTCCTCCCAAGCTCACCTCAGTACTTGTCGAATTGAACTGTGCGTCGAACCAACCCGGCCAACTGAGACGTGGTACTCACAGAGCCGGACAGACAGACCAAGCAACTCACCCGTGAGAAAAATATAATCATGTAAGAAGTCCCTCGCGAGCTGCTGAATCTCCTTGGGGAATGTAGCAGAGAACATGGTGCCTGACCAACTACACTAATCGCAGCTCGACATCACAAGCAGTGAATGAAAGTTTATGTCAAGCGCGATTCCATTCAAGAGTCCAGACGGTGATTCTTCTGTGAGTATTTTTGCATTCTCGGAAACTTCCAGGATCCTCAAACCAGTGAGCGTAAGAGGAAAAAAGCAGTTGAACAGTAAATCGAAATTGACATCGTATGCACCATTTCATGAGAAAAGATGAGCCTTTTCGCAACGAGCTCGGATAGATTATCGAACTGTGTATGTCTCTATCTCTGTAACCATCAACCAACACATCAACTCTATCTCCTATTGCCACTACATAGCCTTAAAACTAAGTATGTTGTTGACAATCTCAACATGAGAGGAAAGCGCCCGTGCATCAATGAAAACGGAGACGCTACCACGAGTTGTGTTAGCGTCTCTGTTTTCACAAGTTGTATTTTACAACTAGCGGGGAAATCCTCCACAGACACCATTTTAACACCAGTGTGTGAGAATATTCACATGGTCTACTACATGCGTCGGTGGTACTATGAAAATTCCGAGGGAATTCTTGTTGGTTTCTGTACACTCCTTCCCAAATTCGTATACAAACTGCTATCAGCGTAATATCAAACATCGAAATTTATCGAATTCTCTGCCGTGTAACACACTATCTACCGGCTCATACTGCGGGCTCAGACAGCAGTGACTGAGCCTGCAGCTATACCTCTATACTAGCTATTACTCGCCTGGTCGAAGGGGTGCTGCGCAAGAAGAAGAAGAAGAACAGGAAGAAGAAGAACAACAACAACAACAACAACAACAACAACAACAACAACAACGACAACAACGACAACAACAACAACAACAACGACAACAACGACAAAAAGAAGAAGAAGAAGAAGAGGAAGCCTCGTTTAGCACCACGAAGCATCGTATGAGCGATCCGACCTACTTTGACGCCCCTCGCGAGATGAAGGCATATCTTCTTGCTCAACGATACGTCTGATCTGAGGTTCAAATCCCATGTCCAGCATTCTATCGGCTTCGTCAAATATAAGACAACTGACTTGGCTCAGTGATATACGATACCTATAACATATGCGAGGATCGAACGCACGCCCTCCAGCATAACAACTGCGAACATTACCACTCTACCAAAACGTCACACTGATCACCTCTCGATTAGATCTGTCAATCTCCCCGGCGTTGCAACGAGTAAATCGCAGCCTCTTTCCAATTCCCTGAGCTGCAATCTATCTCCGCTCCGCCGTATACCACCACCGATCTTATACCTACAATAACGTAGCGACTATCGAACCAATAAAGGGCTCAAGGGGAATCCCCAGCCTATCCTTCAGCTTGTTTTACACTATCATAGTGTCACTAGAATAGACTAGAATGTCACTAGAATTACACTAGTGTCACTAGAATGTTACTATTATTCACGAACAAGGATGACAGCATAAGTGAATCCTCTTAGACTCCATCTTAACTACACTTCACATAGAAACTGCGTATCGCACGGTGAACAAATCCTGAATATCATTCTCCATTTTTTCGCCCAGAAAAAAAATGTCGTCCCCAGTGGGTAGAGTAAGCGTGTGCTTATCAAACACATCATGTTCCACACCTATTTACCAGTTCCATAACAATATTTCCTGGCTTCCTCGAATATCTGCGACGCGAGCTCCCTCGTAGGAGCAAGGACCTAAATCGATACCATCTTATCTACATTTTAGTTTTACTCGTGATATGAAAAACATTAATGAAATACATATTTCACAATTCACGCGAGTGAGTTATCGGTCGCGGAAACACGTAAGTTTCATAATTTTTTCACCGAGTATTACGCCGCCCCGCCATCAACGGGTCGATATTCATCGTTCCAGAGCAAAGTGCATAGCAAACACTATTTTTTAAATTCTGATACTTTCGAGCAAAAACAACTATTATTATCTCACCAGCGACACTGGATAAGCCTTCCACCTTCCACCGTTCTTCACAGAGCTGTTCACTGATGCTGGCGGTCCCTCCTCGATCATTCTGTGAATCGTGGGTAGTAGGAACGCACCTGTAGATTAACACCACGGCACTTATTAGTCTATACAGTGTGGGAGTAGGAATATATGTTCGCTTTCCTCAGCTGAGCTCAGGAGTTTCCTATACAGTGTTGGAGTAGGAATATATGTTCGCTTTCCTCAGCTGAGCTCAGGAGTTTCCTATACAGTGTTGGAGTAGGAATATATGTTCGCTTTCCTCAGCTGAGCTCAGGAGTTTCCTATACAGTGTTGGAGTAGGAATATATGTTCGCTTTCCTCAGCTGAGCTCAGGAGTTTCCTATACAGTGTTGGAGTAGGAATATATGTTCGCTTTCCTCAGCTGAGCTCAGGAGTTTCCTATACAGTGTTGGAGTAGGAATATATGTTCGCTTTCCTCAGCTGAGCTCAGGAGTTTCCTATACAGTGTTGGAGTAAGAATATACGTTCGCTTTCCTCAGCTGAGCTCAGGAGTTTCCTATACAGTGTTGGAGTAGGAACATATGTTCGCTTTCCTCAGCTGAGCTCAGGAGTTTCCTATACAATGTTGGAGTAGGAATATATGTTCGCTTTCCTCAGCTGAGCTCAGGAGTTTCCTATACAGTGTTTGAGTAGGAATATATGTTCGCTTTCCTCAGCTGAGCTCAGGAGTTTCCTATGCAGTGTTGGAGTAGGAATATATGTTCGCTTTCCTCAGCTGAGCTCAGGAGTTTCCTATACAGTGTTGGAGTAGGAACATATGTTCGCTTTCCTCAGCTGAGCTCAGGAGTTTCCTATACAGTGTTGGAGTAGGAATATATGTTCGCTTTCCTCAGCTGAGCTCAGGAGTTCCAAAAAGGAGTTTATATACAACCTAGAGTGGAAGTATACAAAAACCCACCTAAATTCCCCAAAATTGTACACATGGCGATAACCATATTCATATTTTCCCACACTGCATGAAGCGAGTACTACGTTCCAATTTGATTACTATAAGTTCACTACAGGAGAGCCTCTAGAGCGACTACCAGTCTTGCCGCTCCCAGTCTGCGCACACGCCATCAGATCACGTTTAGCCATAACAACAGGTATAGCATGCTTCTGCACAGGTGTCGGCTTCGTATATCCACATCTACGACACCACCACCACCACCACCCTGTGACCGCTGCGCCACAAAACTATCCCCTACTTTTCAATATTTCTCAATATGCCTGCATCTAGCTTCGCTTCGCCGAAAGAATCAATATGGCCGATCCCAGCAGCGCCCTTCCCAGACACCTCCGTTGGAATTTTATCGTATCTTATAACCAACATAACGCCAACTACACACATAAAGTTGGAGGGAAGAGAGCGAGCCTTGTAACTGCTTGTTATTAACCGAATCGCACGCCGGAGTTCTCGTGTTACAACTGTTGTACCGTAAATCTTTCAATTCACATCACTACCAGGCCTGCTACTATTCCTACTCGTTGAAATTGATTCCAGTCGTCATAGCGTTACTCTGCTCGAAGATCTCTCGAGCGTCTTCACAGACTGGCCTGCGACCTCCACGTCTCAACCAAGTACCATCTCCTAACAGGGCGCAAGTTCGATCCCCAGTAGAGGCATTTTTCCACTACCTCTGGACGCTGGCTGGGACCAGTCTAGACGATCACTAGACATATGTGCCGGCCTAACAACGCGAATAACGACAGTATTTCCCTACGGACAGCGATCGCTAAATATTCAACTATTCGAATAATCAATCCGTGCGTTGTGCCAATGACTTCAAGTACACACTTGAAGCAATGATCCTGTTTCGCTTAGTTCGAAATGATGAGGAGCGATGCTATCAATGTGCCATACGCAGATTTAGCGAAGAGCTCAAGAAGACTGTATAATGCTGGCTAAAATCAGTCACTTTTTTGAACAGTTCAAGTCGATGAAATATCTCTCACATAGAAAACGTTCAGTAAGCATTTATAAATTCTCTATAGAGAGCATCTATTAGCGATCATAGCTGACATGCTATGCCAAACTATGGTGGCGCCAGAGGCCCCTCAGATCGCCCAGCTGGGCATTCCAATACTTTCCTCCCAATTTTATCATAAAAATTCATCCTTGATAATTTACACTTTGTCATAATTTCCAAAGAAAAATTACTATTCCCATCATAAACTACGTAGGAAGCCTTTCCCAGAATTCTCTATTACTCTTTCTTCGACGCAAATCCAGACAGGGAGGCGATCGGCGATCTCCCATCGCCGTAACTACTCGAAGCGAATCTCCGCCGACCGAGATTACTCTTAACATCATCTTCTGCGTAACCACTAGTATATCGACGATTACGGTAGCCTGATAAAAGCGTACCATTTCTCGGGCATATTCTAATCCACGTTATCGAAGTTTCACAGACGATTTCATGCGCACTAGACGTTAAATAAGAACTATACCCCCCTCACCTCGACGGTCGTCTTTGCTGCTGGAGTGATGAAAGTGTCTAAAGATAAGCAGAGTCTCAACCATTCGGTTGATGAATTATACTACGCGAAAGCATCGTTTTCCCTTTCTTTGACTCTTCCGCTGTGTTCCCTGTTTGCCAAGTTACCGTGATTCCAGGCGGATGAAGAGGCTTTGAGAACACTAGGGCTGAAGGACTCCTCGAGATGTCTGGTGCCCCTCTAAAATACATCCAGTTGGTATCGAACCAGCAACCTCACGATTGCCAACCAACAATCACACCGCTACACCAACCATCTTACTTGTGGAAGAAATGATTGACCATCGGCGACGGTCCCGGCTAGCTGGTTACGTTTATATGGTGGAATGTATCTACATGAAGGCAGACGCACTATATTTCATTGTATATGTAGTAAGAAGTTACAAACTTCCAGTTTCGATCACAATTCTCAAGATCCTATCCCATAGATTCGTATTAGTAGACCCCAACGATTCAATAAGTGTTGCATCATGAGCTGCAAATTCTATACTGTGCGCAAGATTCGCTATGATTTCCGACAATACACGGTCAGCAGTATGCACAATTACACACAGTCATGTAGTAGCAATAGCATCAGCAGGTCTACAATAGAACGAAAACCGGTATAGTGTCTTCAGGGTTAGTCTAGTTCGATGATGGGGGAATTCCTACTATAATCTGATACACCCGAGATCTTTCGTTGGCAATTATAGATGCGTTTCCAACTCCGTATCGATATACCAATGTTGGAGTAGGAATATATGTTCGCTTCCCTCAACTGAGCTCAGGAGTTTCCTCACTAATTATAGGAGTTTGCATACGAACTAGAGTACGACCCCGAAATTTCCCCAAAATTTTCATTTTGTCGCCCACACATGTAGTTGACCATACTGTACATATTTTCCCACACTGCAATATACTTCCAATAAAAAGCAGCGAAATTTTCAATATTTGATATAATCCATGTACTAGAAAGATTAAGCGATCCCTGTTGGTGAAGTCCCGCCATACCTGGCAGAAGCCATTTTAACATTTCCATTGTCGTCCTCCTTAACAACAGGTTCACTTATCATGATGTAGTGGTGGTGTTCTAGAATGCTACAAGTTCACTGAAAAGTAGTGGAGACAAAAAATTGAAACAAAATGCGATAATCTGGCGGAGCGATGCACTCTCTC